CAACATGTCGGCCATGCAAAACGGCCTCACGAGCCACATGGGCAGGCCAGTGGCGCCAGTGCGCCTTATGGGGCTGATAATTGGTTCCGCTTGATCTAATTTACCTTGAATAAATACTAGTCCATACACTTTTAAATTGTTCTGATAGAACTCACCCACCACATTTCCGTGCATGATATATTTTGATTGACGAACGGGGAAACTTCGGAGGCTTCGTTAAGCGATACAAAGTCCTCGTAAAAAGCTAAGTTTAGACGTAAGATGTGCTTCGCACGACATCTCCCCACTTTGTCTCTAGATTTATCAGACCCGTGGCACGAAATTTGAAACAGCTAGCCCTCGTAACTGGATGGCGATGGAACTCTCCCATCCGGACATTTCTTTTACGTATGGCGTGTTTAAGGAAGGATGCGGCCTAATAAGGCTAGTGCTTTGATCTGACTCAGCTCTATGCATCCATGTCAGAATATATATCTACAGGATTGATGCAGTCAGCGTCTAGACCTGGAAATTATTAATTCAGATTTTAACTGAAACAAAACTTAGTGGCTAACCTTATCTTCGCCAAGACCCGTACCATGGGTTTGCCTAGAATAAGCTCGGCATGCCGACAACTTCCCGCCCGAGACAGAGCTCGGGAGCGGGCCCCGTGTCACTGATGTTCTCATCCGTCTTGGTCCGGAATGGCGCTAGCGGTGCAACACTGCAACAAGTTGGGTCATGTCGATCAACTTGATTTAAAAAGGACTCCCTTTGCCTTCAGTTCATAAATCTCTCATTCGTTTTTATTTTCATTTACGCGTGCCACTCCTGCTGAACATTCTTTTTTCAAATTACAAAATGTATCTGAAGCACTACATTGCAGCATGTCTTTTTGTCCCGGTCGCCCTCGGTCACGGGAATTCCCCTGCCCGCTCTGTGGATCCCTTCAAGGTCTTCACAATCTCCGCCGACAATATCACGGCCAAGTTCATTCCATACGGAGCGCGCTTGATCTCTCTGCTAGTTCCAGACAAGAATGGCAATGAGCAGGACGTTGTGGTCGGCTATGACAATCCCCGTCAGTATCTGGAAGACACCGAAACCAACCATACCTATTTCGGAGCCGTCATTGGCCGCATTGCCAACCGTATCAAGAATGGCACTTTCGCGTTAGACGGAACCGCATATCACATTCCCAAGAACCATGACGGCCTGTACACGCTGCACGGCGGAGACATTGGCTATGATCAGCGAAACTGGACAGTGGTTGCATCCACACGTTCCTCTGCGACGTTTGAGCTCTACGACGCTGCATTCCAAGGCTTCCCAGGCGACGTCAAAATACGGGCTACATACAGCGTCGACACCAAGGCCACAGCTGAGAACCCGCAAGGACGTCCCCGGTTGACGACCAAGATGGTCTCCCAGGCTCTCAATCACTCCACTCCAATCATGCTCTCCAACCACATCTACTGGAACCTGAATGGTTTCCAGCAGCCGACTGTCCTCAATAACACATGGCTGCAGATGCCCCTGTCTGAGCGATTCATCGCCACGGACAGCATTCAAGTCCCTAACGGAGACATCTCGACTGTGGATGAGACCGATCACCAGACAATGGACTTTACTGCCGGCAAAATTATCGGTCGCGACATTCAATACACCCAAGGTCTTGTTGGCAGTGACGTGGGATACGACAACTGCTTTATCATTGACCGTGACTCGACCTCTGCCCAAGACGCACTTGTTACCGCTCTCCGATTGAACTCCAGCTCCACAGGAATTAGCATGGATGTTGCAACCAACCAACCTGCTGTGCAGTTCTTCACCTGTCTGAACATGGATGGAACCATTCCTGTGAAGCGTTCTCAGGTTAAGCGAAACTCCAAAATTGAGGGAGCTGCTGGATTTGTTGAGAAATATGGTTGTCTGGCGATTGAACCCGAGGGCTGGATTGATTCTGTCAACAACCCACAATGGGGCCAGGAATCCAATGTCATCTACTCTCCTGAGACCGCCCCTGCCGTGAACCTGGCCACATACACCTTCGGAACAGTTTGAGATATGTTTGTCATCATGCATTCGATCCTAGTTTTACTGGCTTTTTTGTTAATTTTAATCGTTTGCAATTTTAAAATAATTTGAATTGCCTTGCAATCTCCATTAACCTAATGTTTCTAAACGGTTTGACTTCGTATGGCGTAGCGGCTCCCTAGAGTTCAATAATCACATGTTTGCTGCTCGCTGGGGACGTTTGTTTGACAATAATACCAGTGGTTCCTCGATCTAATTTGCGTTCCAAGGTTTTTTCACGTGCTGCGAATAGAGTAAATGAACTGCTGATCGGCCACTGTAGGTACCAATGCACGGGTTAGTCTATATTCTACCCAGTCCACTGGGACAACAAAACTCATTTCCATGCATAATAAATCATAATCTTTACCCCTCCTTATATTATTGGTCTTCACCCAATCAATATGTTTCATGCACCCAGTTAATCTAGATCATTCACTCCTAACCAGTTCCAAAGGAAGCCCAACCGTTATACCCACAATAAGTGGGTCTGGGCTAACTTGTGAGGATCTACAGAGTACTGGCAGCCATTTAAATTATTGAAATGACACTATCTATTTATGGCGGGTAGCTTTTCGCCCCATCCTATTTAGAAATTTTGTTTTGCCCCTGGAATTTCTTTTTTTAATATTTTCTAACAATCTTAAATCTATAACTTAAGCCTAGTACAAACATGTATACACGTGAGAGTAAATAACAAAAGGAAATAACAAGGAACGGGGGCAAGGAACAGATGACCTCCAATAAAGTCAGGACATTATTGGGTGCGGAGTCCTCTCGCAAATCCAGAAGGGGGAAAGCAATTTCCAACTATTGGGGTGATCGACCAAATCTCTCTCTTGCCAAAATGATCGTCCATGCGAAATAGTCTAACTAAGGCTTCTTGGCGTAGTCCTCAAGAACAGCCTCGGCGATCCGCAAGGCCATACCGTAGAAAATGGTCATGACGTGCGAGGAGACCTGAGTAGGAGGGATGGAGCCGTCAATGACACGGAGACCCTGGGTACCGTAGACCTTGGCAGTAGCGTCGACGACACCACCAAGCTCGCGGGCCATCATGGAGCAGGTAGAGACAGCGTGCCAGTTAGGACGGAAGTTCATCAGGACGTAGTCCTCCCACTCCTCAACAGTGGCATCCTGGGACAGGTTGTCGCCGGGGATGGTCTCGCCAGCGTAGTACTTCTTCATCTCACCGGCGCTGGAGAGCTCACGACCCAGCTTGGTGGCAGCTGCCTGCCCGAGAAGATCCAGCTCGTTCATGAAGAACTTGGGGTCATTGGCGTATTGCCAGAGGTAAGGGTCACTGCTGAGAATGTGGACGGAACCACGAGTGAAGGGGATAAGGTTCCAGATATCGAAGTTGATCTTGCCCTCAGTGTCGAAGAAGAGCTCGGCGAAAGCAACATCCTCATCAAGGAGCCAGTTACGGTAGTTCTCGTACTGGATCTTGAGGGCAGTCACGTTGTGGAAACCACCGCGGGCAACGGTCTCCTCAGCCCACTGGTCAAGCTTGGTGTTCAGCAGCTCAATACCCTGGGCGGCGTGGTCACCGAGAACCTCTGTGAAGTTGGCGAAGTAAGCGGCCTGACCTTGTCCAGGTGCGTTGTTGGCGCGGGAGCGAACAGTGGTAGTGGTTTGGTCTTGCATGTTGAGACCAACAGGGAGTTCGAGGATCTGCTTAACGCCGGCCTTGTCAAGGACAGACTTGGTACCAATACCGGAGTACTCGAGGATCAAAGGAGAAATGGCAGATCCGGCGGCCAACAGAACTTCCTGCTTGGCGTAGACATTGAAGTTAACAGCCTTGTTGGTACCGAAGTTCACACCAACAGCCTTAGGGCCAGAGGCGGTCTGGTTGAACAGAACCTTTCCAACCTTCTGGCCAGTCAGGATCTGCAGGTTAGGGCGCTCGTAGTTGGGAAGAAGCCATTCGCGAGCGGCATCAGCCCGGATCTGGTTCTCGTGGAGGTTGTTCGGGATCATGGAGACACCACGGGGGTGACCGCAGTGGAAATCCTTCTGGATGGGGACACCGAAAGCGGAGACGGTGTTCATGAGGGCTCGCATCAGTGGGGACCAAGGCTTGCCGTTGTCGCGAGGGCCGGCATGGACGGTACCGTTTGTTCCATGGCAGGCAGGCTCGTAGAAGTGACCAGCCTCGATCTGGGCGGCAGTGGGGGGGCGCGAGCGCTCAGCCTTCTTCATGTACTCGAACACGTTGTCCCAGTTCCAGCCTTCCATACCGAAGACCTTTTCCCATGAGTCAATCTGGACCTTGTCAGGACGGGTCCAGGAATCACCGTTGATCAAGGTTGAGCCACCAAGACCGAGACCAGACTTGATTTCTCCAGTTCGGTTGTTGATGAGGGGAACTGTGAGATAATTCTGATCCACAGTAGTTCCAAAGATCTCACCATAGGCGTTGGGGTCCTGGATGATCGGTCCATCGTTGGATTCGTAGAATCCCTTCTCAATCACGAGGACTTTGATCTTCGGGTTCTCGGTCAGCTTGGCAGCCACGGTCAGACCAGTCAAACCACCACCAGCAATCACATAGTCGTAAGTCTTTCCCTCAACCTTTTTGGGGTCGGAAAATAGGTGAGACTGGACGTCGAGCTGCTCGGCCGGGGTATAAGCCTGGACGGCAGCCATAGACAAAAGAATGGAAGTGATAATAGTAGACTTCATGATGAGGAACAATGGCCCCGGGGGTCAATGTACATAGGAATGAAAGGAAAGGAATGAGTTGGTGTTCATAAAACGACGATCGGAAGCATCAAATATATATGTTCGAAAGAATCGCGTCTTCTGTTTCGGAACTATACCAATACCGAACTTTGAATGGTTGAATAAAACCCATAGAGGGCTCCACGAGCCCGCATAAAACACGTGGGATGCTGCAATAGGAGTGAGCTATCAATCTTCAGTTCCAAAGAATGAAATAATCTACCGGCTGATCTGCATGTTCTGCACATCTTGGCAGCATGGTGCCTTGGACCGGTCAAACTATATTCATCCTAACTTTCATGCACCGGTGTCCTATCTGGGAGAAATAACAAATAACCGACCTCGTGGGTGTACCTGTGCTAATAGCAGACATTACCTTCTCTGAGTGGCGGGGCCTTCAACAGCCCAGTGAGAAATCGAATCCTTCTGCTCTCTTTCTGTGGATATCGTTAAGATGGATACGAGGAAGTGGGTCTTCCTGACCTTCTAAGGTCAGCAGTAGATTACCATGCCAATTCATACTATGCCCAGGTACGGAGTTCCAGGGATTGAACTACATTAGTCGTGTTGTATGTAAATCTCGAATCGGAGGTCTGAACTGGAACTAGGCGTGATAGTATATGGACTGTATAATTATTGATTTCAGTATATCAAGAGTAGACTTTTGAAACGCCATAGAACTGCAATTTCCTTCTGAGAACCTTGTTAACTAAAACAGCGAAGGCAACTTCTAACCTTGGAAGTCATGTAATATAATTCATGAAGCATAATTGATAAGGAATGTCCGAAAATAGACCGAAGATGAAAGTCTCGCCCATGAATGCTTCGTAATTCGAAGGTATTCTCCGGGCTAGGCCTCGATCTGGGTCTCTGTTTGTTACTAATCGGCATCGTATTTGATTGAGTTCATTTCGGCATGCCGAGAAGCACGAATGTCGTCAGAAACTCAAAACTGCATTGGCGCCAAGAGTGGAAACTCGCTTCCGGGAACCTTGTGCGCCATGTGCGCGATAAGAGACATACCCTATCAAGTTTACATTGCCTCAAACAATAGGAATAATCGTGCCAAGCCCACCAACACCTACTACCTGGTGTTGATGGGCTTGGCACGATTACAAGGGGGAATTATACGTCTAAGATGAGTGAGTGGAACGGTGGCGAATTCGTTGATTCCCATATTGTTAGGGATAGAAAAACTGTCAACCTCCTCCATCTCTTCATTCTCAAGCCTTGCCATCCCAGAGCAGAAGAGCAGAAGAAACAGATCCAATGAAGACGATTTCTCTATTTTTTGCAGCCTCCCTATTGGGGCATGCTGCCCTTGCTACAAGGCTTTATGCGGCATCGTATGCTGGTCTTGTCACCTCATTGGACCTTTCCAAGTCCAATGAGCTATCTACACTCTCCCAGACCACTGAGTGCGGTGGCAGCCCCTCTTGGTTGATGTTGGATAGTCCCAATGGTGTCTTGTACTGCCTCGACGAAGCAATCAATGCTCCCAATGGCACTATCACCACCCTGAAAACTCATCAGGATGGGACACTCACCAAGCTTGCGCAACTGAAAACCCCCGCTGGCCCTGTCATGTCTGCCATGTACTCGGCACCTGGGGTCTTGGAACGCAAGTTCCTTGCTGTGGCACACTAGTAAGTTTCGATCGAATCTCTAGAGATAGTTGCATGCCA